TCTGTCGTGCACTTGGGTTTAACAGCAGTTCCTTGCCACTTTTTCAGTTTTCTTGGATTGTATTTGTGCTTTATAAGCATCGCCTTGTTTTGCAGCACAATTTAAGAAATAGTGTTTCTAATGTGATACAAAAGAGAAAACGAACGGCGTTGACTGTCTACAAGAGAGCTGAAACAGGTGTCTTTTTCCCCCCCCTCTTGCGACTTTTAATTTTGAAGGTAATTTAAGGGAATATTCATGGCCATCATCTTTCTTCTCTTGATTTGGTGAAGAAACGTCAGCCTGTAAATCAGTTCGTGATTGAAGAGGCTTTTGCTGGATAATTCTGTTTGATTGGAGTCTCACACCCTCATTATCATTTAAAATAAAGGGAAAAACAGCACCTTAATTGAACTCCAAGCCTTGTGTGCTTTCATATCTCTTGAGTGAAGTCATATCCAGCCTGTCTGTTTTCGTTGTCCATGTTCTGTCTGTGTCTTTTCATTTTCTAAATAAGAAAGCCGTGATTGTGCCTTTGACATCGGAGGGGGAAGAGTGTGTGTTGTCTGGGTAGAAAATTACATTTGCATCTTGGAGGGCACCTGAGGGCTCTTTACGAGCCTGTGCTTGGCAGGAATCCTAAAGAAAGGAGATAATTTTGTCTTGTTTTTGTTTATCTTAAATTTTCTTAGGGGATGTCTTTTAGATCTGGTTTTCTGCTTGTGACTTGTACTTGATGAACGGGATCTCAAATTAGTCTCTCGCTGCTGGGTTGAAGAATAAGTGTAGTCGGATGCACGCTTTCCGTCTAGCTTGGTCAGTGGCTGAGGATAATGCCGTTTTTTCTTACCTAAAAAATCCCTGCTGCTTAATATCACTCCCTCCCCCAGCCTTGTCTCAATCAAGGCATTAAAAGAATTGAAGAACTCAGTTCAGTCTTTTCACATTGTGTAGCAAATGATAATTTAGATTATTAGACCTTCTGCCTTAAAATGATTGGATTTCTTTCCCTGCTTAATACAGACTTGCAAGGCCGTGTTAGGGATGAAAAATCAGTCTAGTCAGTGAAGGATTGTCCTTCATTTACTTTGGGGCTCAGAGCAAAACCTTTGGGCTTGTACCCTCATTTCCATGTGTTTCCACATCCTAAAACAGGAGTTGTGTTAAAAGTTTTTTCCTCTGTTCTGCTCTCTAAAGTCATTCTTTTTAGTACTTTGCACACCAAGGGTCAGCTTACAAGATAGAGGCGTGTCATCAGCTTTTTGTGCTGGTGTTTCAGCACAGCAGCCCTCTCTCTTGGTCTAGATGGTGCATTTTAACCCTGTGGGGCTCACTGTTATGGTCTTTCAGTACTTGCCGGTTCTTTCACGGCTGAACAATGTAACGCTAAAAGCGGTTCATTCAGATTCGGCTTTAGTTACATAGTTTTAAATTTGCAATGTGTGCCATAGACCCCAATCTACAGTAATGTACATCTACAGTCTGTCAGTTAAAATGGGAGTTCTGAAGTGGAAAACAACTTGCCCCCTTTAAAGCACAGATGTGAGTTTGTTGATGAATAAATTACAGATTTCCAACCTTTTAAGCGATGGCCCCTGTGAGAAATAAATAAAGGGATTACAATTTGAAAAGAGGAATCAAAGAATAAAAGAGAATTCTTGCAAATATGTGCCAAAGTTATATTTGTTCCACAACGTTGTGCAGCGATAGAGGCCTAGATAAAATGCCCCGATAGCTGCAGAAATATAACCTAGAGGAAAGACCGGTTATAACCAGTACAGGTACACATTCAGCTATAGCTTGAACAGAATTACAAAAGAGTGAGTGTGTTTGAATAATCTCTTTTTCTGCAGAAACAGAATAACAGGACACAATCAGGTGTTTACGATATTACATTCCTCTGGTGTCTTCACAAGTAGAGTGCGCACCTGGTATAATTGCAGAATCACACTTATTAGTCAAGGGCAGGTTTTGGAGTACCAAGCACATTAGTTACGATCTGTCATCGGATGTGGCTTGTTAATACATCATCCCACAGTTACACCAGGCCCGAATTCCCTCTGGTGAAAGGTATCTGGAGGCTGGGCTAGGGTCCCCTGCTACCGTGAGTCTGTCTGGTCACGGCGCGGTGTGGTCGTCAGTCAGCCAGACTGCTGCTCTCACCTTCCACGAGCTGTCCGTGGGCCGCCTGCGTGCCACTGTGTAATTTGCTCAAATCACCCCGATTGCCCCCCAGCTTACTGTAAACGTATTGTGCGCACCTGATCTCAGTCTCTAAAAAAAGCACAGCTAGCACCAACGTTTTTGAGACATTACGTGCCGCCGGTGCGAACTCTGCAGAGGTTTCTTCACATTTCCTGCAGCCTTCTGAATGAAGCTGGTGGGGTTTATCTCTCCCCTGAAAGGCTCGACACAGCCGGCCTGTTGGGCTTGCCCTTTTCCCCCTCCCCTTCAGCATTGACTCAGCTTCTGTCAAGTCAACGCTTAGCAGCTCTCTTCTCTAAAGAATCAAGTGCGGCAAAATCTGTCGAAAGAGGAATTACTCTTTTATTCCCCCACCCCCCTCTCGTTCTAAAATATATTCTTGAGGCGTCTCCTCACAGCTGTCTCTCTGTTTTACCGTGCCATGCATGGGCATCGCCAAAAATGTTGAGTAGAAAGAAAACGCGAGCAGAAGAAGACTGCACTTCAAGCGGCGCGTGCGTGCGCGCACACACACACACACACACCGCCTGCCCCCCGAGCAGGGTGTCGGAGGTCTGCCCGGCTGACCTGAGTGATGCAGCAGGGCCCTGGTGCCCCGCGATCTGCAGAGAGCAGTGGAAAGTAGCACCTTGAATGTGAAGTCTCGCAGACCGGCGGCAGAGTGGCGTGCCTGTGAGAGACTTCTTTCTGAGGGAAGCTGGGGGGGGGGCGCAGTCAGCCACACGCTGAAGTTTCCTTTCAAGGTGAGAGGACAGAGCCATCACAGGTGAGGGAGGCTCTGATCTCTGGGGTTAATACGCGAATGTGAAATTCAGCCTGCTCGTCCAGCAGATCGTTTTGTGGAACAAAGCCTTCTCTGATTTCAAGAGGCCCGCTTTCAGATAACTAGATGACGGCTCTAGTAAGGAAATACTGCATCTTCTGCGACTGTAATCTGAAAGAGACAGGGGACTGGCATTTGGATATAGCGGTTGACCAGTTGTTTCGGGAACACATCAGGGTTTTTTTTAGAGGATTTTTTTTAGGATATTTATAATTCAATGATTTTTGTTTTTCGAATGCATGAACTTTTAACACGGAATTGTCAATGGAAAGAGGGAAAATCGTTTTTTTTAATAATGATTAGTGGTGATCAGTTAATCTAGTAGAGACGCACCTAATGCTGTATTGTATCTTCAGAGTAATTAAGTTCAATGCCGAGATTTGCAACCTCTAGTTTAAAGTGTTATATTTTTGGAATTATTTACTTTTCAAACACATTGCCCTATTTTTTAAAAAAAAGACGCAATGTTAGTTCAGTTTACTGAACTACAAATCCCCCTCTTTTAATTTGTGTGTCATTGGTCCCGAAAAGTCATATACTGCATCTTTTCATTTTTATGGGAAAATGTGAGCACTTATAATGGGGGTTGTCGGACTGGAGAGTGACCCTGTCATTGTCTGTGGCCTTGAGATCACTGGACCACAGAATAGGATTTAGTTTTATTACTACACACCCCAGCTCTCAGGCTCAACGAATCAATGCCTCATGTATTATTATTGGATCTGGGGCCAGCCTTTAATTACCAGCTATCTTCCGCTGTTGATGAAGGCCCCGGACTTGGGCGTTCTCTGGAATTATTTTGGTAATGTGGAGACCGCATGGAAGATCCCTGGAGCGTTTCGCCGATACGCATTAAAATTCATCTTATTGACTCCTCTTGTTTCAAAGTCAATCGAGCAGCATCGTGTAGGGCTGAGCTCTTTTGCCCTGCTAGTTTCTTTTTATTGGCGTCTACGGCATTGACCTCCATAATGAACGCCGTTACCTATAACATTAATTGCAAAATATAAATCCGATTGGCAGCACGAGCTCGTTATGATCATTTGTTGTGTATTGTGTGATTGTGGTTCTCGACACACCTGCGTTCCCTAGTTATGTTCCGGAGCGTCGTCTTATAGCTGTGCCCAATCTGCGGTGTATTATCCCTTGTTCATAACCCCATCTTGCAATGCGATTTCTGGGATTTTTTGAAAGTTGAAAAACACTTCTTCCAGCGTCTCCCTTTGTGCTGGCCGCTTTTGTCCTGCTCCAGTTTTGAATGGCAGGCTGGGGAATAACAGGAGGGATTAACAAAGGAATTATGGTCTTACGTGGGAGTTTATTTTTGTGCTTTGAACCAAATAAAAAAAAAAATGAAGAAGTTTGTTTCTGGTTAGAATAACAGAGCTAGGCGGACATTCTCCTCTGTGCGGACAGAGAATACCACAAGAGATAACCAGCAGGGGTCTGGAAGAGGGGCCAGCCTCCTGATCTGTGTTCAAGTTTGTTTGATCAATCTCCAGCTTGTATGTGCAGGTTGGACCCCCATAACAGCCTTTATGAGAGGCGCCCCAGCGAGGAGTAGAATAGGCCCCTGCAAGTGCCTGGTGATTGTCTATTGAAGAATCTGGTTATTAAAAAAGGGGGTGCCTGTTTGTGTTTCACTTATTGTTCCTCTTCACTTATCAGTCCATTATTTCGTTCTGTGACTACAAATACTTTGCATACTTAGTTCAACTTTTTAAGGGAGACAGGCGCCTTGATC